GGCTGTGTAGTACCCTTCTTTGGAAAAACTCTGCAGTGTGGAAATAGTTAAGGTTTTGGAGAAAAGACAGGTTGCCAGATGAACTGGACTCCTGCCTCAGAAGCTTGCTACAGGATTTTAAGATGCTCAGTTTCAACAATATTAGGCTGAAATAAGTGCATGCAGGAAGCTGAAATTCAACGTTGGTGTCCTTTTAGGATATATGGTGACATGAACCAGTGGTGAGTAAGACAAACTATATGTAGCATGTGTAATTTGTCAAGCTATGAGGAAATGCAAAGATTTGCTAGCTGCTAGGCTAATTTTCACAATGTGAAATGCAATAGGCATAAGCTAAGCATGGCAGCTAGCAACAAATAATTGTTTTGTCACATCTGCACTCATGTTAGATGTTGTTCTGTTTACAGTGTGTTAATGAGGTCAGTTTAAAGTGAACTTTACTCTGTACTTGTGTCATATGGGCAAAGTAATCTCAACAGTAAGTATGTTTGAGAGCTTTAGTTACAGTAAGGGAGGATTAGCTACACTAAGCTAAGCTAAGATAAGATAAGATAATTTAAGCTATACCTTTATTGGTCCCCTGTAGGGGGGAATTCAATTTGATCCAGCATTGTGAGAAAAAAAAGTAGTATGCAGGGACTGAATGCAGAAAAAGTAAATGAAATAAATTATTCTAAAAATGAATAATAAAAAGTAGAATTGAAATGATGTAAACAATAGATGGATCTGAGTTTCAGTATATGGGCAATGTACAAAAATACTGTAAGATATGCATTTAGTTTATACTCAAACAGTGTTTACATGTGCAGTATCTTTCATTAACTAAAAGAGGTGTATTGGCAAGCAGAGGCTTTACACTTAAAATATTTAAAACACTTACTAAAGCAGTGGTTGTCCAGTATTGCAATTTAAACCACCAATCAATACTAAGTTCATGTGCTGTCATATCATTTGAACAATTTGGATTCATATTATATATATATTTTATTTTTTCAGAATATAATCATCACACAGTTGACTGTTGAACTTTTGGGTATGAAGTGGCATCACTTCGTTATTATTTGTCAGACTTATTATATTAATTATTGAGCAATAGCCAAACATGTTTTTTGTGGGGGTCACAGTACACAGTGACCTTGACTTTTGATCTGTGACCACCCAAATCTGTTCAATTCATCCTTGCATCTGAGTAGACATTTCTTCCAGATTTGAAAAAATTCCCTCAACCCATTTCTGTTAAATCACATTCATGAGTTACCTCTGTCCTTTGAAAATCCAATCAGTTCATCCTTGTCCTAAGTGAAGCGGTCTCAGTTCTCCCACTTAAGTCTATCAGGACCTAAAACACTAACTATA